CTTCCTCTTCTTCTTTCTCCTCCCCCTACTCCTCCTCCCCCTTTTTCTTCTTCTTCTTCTTCTTCTTCTTCTTCTTCTTCCTTCTCCTCTTCTTCTTCTTCTCCTCACCAGCCCTTCTCCCAGCACAAATATCATCTTACACCAAGTTATCCTCCGCTTCCCTCATTAACATAGCAATGAGTCAACAATTCCCTGAAATATGAAATCAAGTACGTGGATGGAAAATTCATTTTTACTTTATTTTGAGTGCCAAGTCCTCGACTGACCGAAACCTCTGGTATAAGTGCCCTTCTTCTTATAGGGTAATCAAAGTAGTTTTAGTAACTGTCCCTCGAAATTATGAGAGTTGTAAATTAATGTTGGAGTTCACCCCCAAAATAGTTCTTCACTTTCTTTTTTCTAATCAGGCCTGACTAGATGGAACACATGTCATTGGCGTTGGGCGGCGCACTGAAAACGTTTATTTCCCGGACCCGATGTTAACGGTCAAACTAAATGCAGCCATGGTTAGTGCAGCGTAATATTTTGTTCTGAACAGGCATCTCAGTCCTTCGCTTATGACCCGAGTATGGGTAAGGAGGGTCCGCGCAGTTGTTTCATATCAATCAGATGTCTGTAGTGAACCACAGGCATTTCCCTTCATTAGGCCCCAGGAGGCACGATATGACATTTGAATTCTCAGTATTGTAATTATAAACCCTTGTCCGGGATGTGATATCCATCAGGGGAACGACTTTTTTGCTCGGTCACACTCCGTACGGGCTCGACTTACACGGTAAATATTTATGGTCCGTTATTAGACAGCTGGAGCTGCGGTACCCGCACGAAACGCCAAAGCCTCTTGATAGGAATAAAAGGGGAGATCTCAGTAACTTGACCCGTAAATAGATAATTCTATTATTTCAAGAACATGTATTACATTCTACCTGCTAAGTTTCTATTCGGTGAGCAAATAAACGCATTTCCGTCAAGTCCCACTCGAGTTCGATGCATGTTCGAGTCGACAAGAGGACTGCTTGTAATTAGCTTACGGTTTGGTTCGAGTAGCTGTAGGAACAGCTGACGTGTGGAATACTATTGGTGTCACCAGATGGCTTGCGTAGGTTTGACAGTTTTTTGATTTTCGTGACACAGTTGTGCATAGTGGCTACTCGAGCATGTGTAATCCCATCTCCAACACCTACAGTGCGTGACCGATCTCATGAAATGCTGGCCAAAATTCTGGAATGCGTTTCGGATTAGGAAGGATTACTTGAGTGGGCTTGTTATACCGATTATTATGCAGCATAACCCTATAACATTTCGGACTCGCCAGGATGTCGACTTTTGAATGCACTTCTCTTTGACCTACTGCAGAAGGCGCACTCAGTGAAAAACGACTACTTAAGTAACGTGCATTTTTCCTATTGATTTTCGATGGTCTTATAAATTAGAATATATTTCATAGAGGACATGCACAAAATATGATTTCTTTAGCTCATTTGGTAGGAAATCACATTGTCATCATATTTAATTCCCGAAGAAAGTGTATATTTTGGCTTTAAAAAAGTTTTTAATCATGAGATTTTTAAGACCGTTCGATGTCCATGCATGCAAGACCGCACATGTCCGTTTACTAATGCTCCTCATGAAATGTACAACACAGTCCGGATCCATTGCCAAAATTTCATGAAGTCTATGTGGTATATTCTTAAAGGCATGGAAGAATATATGATTTTCCTTACGCGGATAGCATGAACTTTGTGGACTGAACTTGCTAAACGCTGATGCAATGGCAGATCAGGCTGAAAATTATTCGGGAATCAGGAAGCCAAAAATGCACCTTTTTTCGGGCATTAAATATGAAGACAATGTGATTTCCTACCAAATGAGCAAAAGAAAGCATATTTTTGTATATGTTCTCTATGGAATATATTTGAATTTATAAGACCATCAAAAATCAATAGGAAAAATGAATGCTACGTACGTAGTCATTTTTTTTACCGAGTGCGGCTTCTGCAGGGGGGTCAAAAAGAAGTGCATTCAGAAGTCGACATCCTGGCGAGTCCGAAATGTTATAGGGTTATGCTGCATGATAATCAGTATAACAACTCCACTTAAGTAATCCTTCCCAATCGGAAACGCATTCCAGAATTTTGGCCAACATTTCATGAGATCGATCAGGCACTGTATGTCCCCCCCCCGGAAAAATTCCCATCATATTGAAGAACATGTCAAATCTTCGTATTTCGCCTTGACTGGAGGTGGATGCGACATCATCGGGCTACGCGCGCTTCCGTGAAGCCATTCCGAATAAACTGGTGATTATGATAGCAGACCTCGCATGTTAGGTCTTCTGAGAGTTCTGCGGTGGGCCTAAATATATGTAACTTAAAAGCACTTTCATGTAACTTAGTCGGCGTACAGCAGAATAGCTCCCTTGAAGAGGTTAAGGACATTGAAGATGTTTTTTGCTTTCCCCATACTGCTGTCTTCAGTTCCCAACTACAATATTGACCGGCAAGCACATCAACTAGGGGTAGTGTTTGCTCTATTTTCACCTTCCTTGTGGCCAGAAGGTCTAGGAAGGTTTCGTTAAGCGGATTATGGAAGTGTTGCAGGTTGCTGTTCCTGCCAATAGCAATGAAAACGACGCACAAGGACCGGTTCTTGTTGTCATTTCTTGCAGCACGAGGTCTCCGACCGACACACTCGTTTGGGGGAACGTCGAAGCCCCTCTATATCTTTTTTCAGGTTCATTCACAAGGAATAAAACTGGTTTTCTGGACAAATTAGAACGGTTTTCGGGTATGCCAATACTGAGTAGACTTTTTGTTTCAGCACATTCACCTTTGAAGCGTTTGTGCAGGAATTCGTGCATCAGCTCCGGCAAGGTAGATGTTAAAAACGATTTCACTCTGAAGGACGCCACCATCTTGTCCGTATGAGTCATAAATGCCGCGTTTTTCGCCCCTAACTTTTCTCTGGTGGTGGGTTCCATTAACAGTCGAAAGCTCAGGCTATTAAACTTACGGTTGCAGCCTCCGGCCAGCTTTCTGCTTCTCCCAGCAGAAACCTTTTTTTCGCTTCCTAAACTTTTTTCTTAACCAGGTAGCCACAGGAGACCAGATCAGAAATCCGAGCACGACGCTAAGGAAGCTCAAAAGAAAGGAGCGATCCAGCTTTTAGGGTTGCGAAACTTTCCATTGGAAAATTTAAAAGACAATTTGGCGGGCACACGTGTGCTTTCGAT